GCATTTCCATGACAAGATGACAAATTCCTTGAGGGCAGAGACTGCACCTCATGTCTTGGTATTCCATGATGAGCACACAGCACTACACGTGCTAAAGTACTTAGGCAGGCTTCAGAAAAGAGTGACTTGTGACTGAGGTCTAGGCTCCCAGGGTGCTGAAAACCACCTGGGGTCCTCTATTCCCACCACCGATGTTTCCAAGTACTCTTAAACAATGGACCGAGCTGGCTACAACTGTACACAACTTCTCTCAGGAAACAGGTGAGTATTTGCTGAGTCTCTGACCAGCTAGCAGCAAAGACCCCAGGTGTCTGTCAGCATCTCTCAGCTCATGCACTGAGTCCACGCTCACAAGGTAATTTCCCCAACACAAGCAAAACCAGATTGTGTAGAGATGTTCAATTTTAAAAAGAGACACAGAGCGAGAGAGAGAAAATCTGTCAGGAAAAAGAAATTGCTCTTCCAACATGCGAGCCTGTGATTTACATTTCCAGCGCTCCTCCGACACAGGTGGTACTCCTGGAATTAGGCAGTCTCAGTGAGGGTCAGGTTCTGATGAAGGTTAAATGAATTTCCCAGTGATAGTTTTGAATTGTTGACAATTGTTCAGCAGCAATAACCTGTTGGAGAGCTGTCAATATTGTATCCCCCTGCATGTTCTTGTGGTCCTGAGTAAGTAAACTCACATTGTCTTGCTGCCTTGGCTCCCCTACTTGTACCCAAGCCGTTTGCAGGGAATATTAGGAAACACCATTTGTTGGTTGCTCAACTTGCAGGCTGTTTGGGCCATCTTTTAAATGACACTTGGGTCCTCTGATGTCAGACATTGCTCTTGTTTCAGACTGTAAGGAACAAGACAGCAGAGGGTCACCCTACCAATCATCAGCACCAAGAAGACACTCACTGGAGGGGTGAGGGATGCTTCTTGGAATGAGGGAAATTTGCTGATTTCATTCCTTTTGAATGCTAATTCTATTCTCTTCCTCCATTAAGTTTGCTAGAGTCCCTTGTGATTTTTCTGGCAGGATTCATCTGTCATGACAGTTCCTCTAAGCCAACTAGTTAAGGAAAGTTTCCATTGAGGACAGGTGACAGACATTTCCTGCTGAAATTTGGGGCTTCCTGTGAAGACCTTTCCAGGCACAAGGTGTCAGTTTGGCTGAGGATCTAAGCTTGGCCCTGTGATTTGACATCACTCGATGGTTTATAACAACAGAAATCAAGTAACTTCATCTCCCCCAAAAGGCAGAATTGACTCCCTACCCTCCCTACAGCTTGACCCTTGAACCTTCATGCTACAATGATCTCATTCCTGCTATCTAGTAGTGAATTTTCTCCACCCCTCTGGAGGCTGTTTGCAGTACTAAATGCAGACAGTCCTCCCAGGTCCAGTGGGGGCCTTGCTGCAGGTATTCAGGACATATGTGGAGGTAAGATGCTGTGTGCCCCAGGTATAAGAAGAACCTGCCAATGTCCAGGTAAAGGAAATGGGATAGTCCCCCACCCACTGGCATTATTCCAAGGAAGATGTGTGCAAAGAATCCCACATATTCCATATTCACAGTGGTCAGAAAGTCTCTCTAGTTCTTCTTTTTTAATATGCTTTTATTTTCATCTTAATTTACTCCCAAGCCTTAAGTTTCAGTTTCTTCTGGGATATCTTTGTCTTCTGTGCAACCTCATCTTCTGGCTTAGAAACTATTTGTTTCTTTTCAGTAAGGATCATTTCAATGTGGCAGAGGTTGATCCAACCATGCACCAGTGCATCTTGGGGGCTTTGTTCGCCTGGATGTGCTCAATGACCAGAGAATTGACATCTAAACCCTTAAGTTCAGCATTATTCTCTGCATGTGCAGCAAAAATTTAGCACTCTTTTTGGGTCGACTCTGTGTGCAATCCCACCATTTGGTCTGGGCATGCCTACCAACTTCACCATTGTAACGCTGGATTGGATATACTGCTTCTGCGAAGTGGCATCTCTCAGATACTTGGTGGCTACTTGGATATGCAGACCCTTGATATTTGGATAGGCAGACCATTTTCACAGGTGTTCTTAAAATGGACCCAAATATTTGAACTTCTTGAGTTGCATGATTTTCTAGGGTTTTCTGGGTCAAGTGAGTAGCGAACCATTTTGCGAAATTACCTCAGACCACTTATGGAAGTGCTTTCTAGTTCTTGGTCAAGGTAACGAGCTAACATTTACTTGTTGTTGTTGTTAGGTGCCATCGAGTCGGCACTGAATCATAGCGACCTTATACACAACCCTGGACCATCGTGGAGAACCTCCTGTGTGCCAGGCACAGTGCTAAGCCTTTCACATATGTAAATGTTTTCACCAGCCCACCAGGTAGGTATCATTCCTGTCTTTTTACAGGTGAGGAAACTCAAGCTCAGAGAAGCTAGGTAGTTAGTAAATGCAGACTTGGGTTTTGTATACATTTTTTTTTCCTTCTAACTCTTTCTAGCCATTCTCTTTCACCCTCAGAAACTAGGGTCCTCCTCTGAATTTAAGGCATCTGGCTGAAGTGTAAAGTATAGGTTTTTCTGAAAGTCCTGAGAACTTTGTAGAGTCTCGCATTGAATTTTCTGAGCCTTAAATTACTGAGAACTCAGGATCCACCAATGCAGACCCCCCTGCTGTTTCTTTGGGGCCTCTTGGGTCACCTTCAGTCTCTGGGTCACAAAATCATGGAGAAGTGACTGACCTCAAGAGACCATTAAATCCAGTTCTAATGGGAATATAATAAAATCTTTTAAAATGATCTCCACACACATACGAACCCAGGGAGGTCTTTTGGAAGTAGGGTAGCCAGCACTGAGATTTAGGTAGAAGAGAGTCAAGTTTTGCCTTTGGTTCCCCCCAAGCTGTGGGAACCCTTCATACACACAGGTCCAGAATATGGAACTCTGCGATACACTGCCAAATCTAAGTGGCCCTTCCATGGTCTGTCTGGTTAGGGAGCCTAAATGCCCTGCCTCCCCAGACCGCTGTATGAGGATGAGGTTCCTGGATGGTGATGTTGGTGTGCTCATGGACATGTGGGTGACCCCTCCCACCTTAGGCTTGAACACAGGCAGCTTGTACATCAGCTATCCCACTGGAGCCTGTGCAAGGTTCCTGCACCCATTTCTAACACTACAGGTTGCTATGGGCTCCTCTGATTTTTGCCTCCTCATATCTCATATAGCATCAGTAAGTGCCACCTACTTCAGAGCCCTCCCTGCCTCACCCTTGTCTAAGCTCAGGGTGAGGAGCAGCTGTCAGTAGGAGAGCTGCTGTGTAGAGCTACACTTCAGACAAGTGGAGAGTGTAGTTCAGGGTTTAATAGAGGGTACAGGACTGCTGCTGGAGATTCCAGTCCAATCTGCATTTAGGTCTATTCAGAGCTTGGGCAGTTTTCTATTGTAAATCATGCGAATGATTTACAATAGATCCTAGGTAAATAATGCAAATCCGCTGCAAAATGGAGTATTTGCCACAAATAGGCTTTGAAGGGATGTTGGTGATGAGTGAAGTACTGTTTGTGCAGTGTGAGATCCAGGAGTCCTTGAAAGCACAGTGTTTATGTATGATACATTTTCATACAGGTCTGTCTATCCAAGAATCTCCGTGGCCTCCCTGAAAATCCTGAGCTTGCAAATGCTCAGATGAACCACCCAAGTTTAACTGGGAGTAGAGAGGGTAGGTTAGGGAGCATGAAGAGATCCCAAATTCTCTTTCTACCCTCAACTTGGGCTGTTCTCTCAACCGTGGTAGTAGTAGCCATCTAAAGCTTGGGGCATGCCCTTTTCTTACCTCAAGACCCGCCTCACAGGGGGAAATTGAGAAGGCCAATTTAATTTAATTGATTATTACTTACAAAACTCTGTTTACTTCTCTGAGAGGTCTGTGTAAAGTTTCTGAGCTATATAGAAATAGCGATATAAAAAAATGATCATATAAAGCAAGAGACAAGCATCAAATTGTTCTGGGAACACTTAGTGTTAAAGATAGCAGGTGTGTTAGTCTCGAAGTCTCAGCGAGGTCAGGAGACCAGAGCAAGCTTTCTTTTTAAAATGATTACAGAAACAAAACTTGAGAAAATATTTTTGTATGTGTATGTACAGACATCTGCCTACCTGGCTTTCTCTCTCTATCCTCTATCTTTTCAGTCTTTTCTCAGATAAATGTGAGTTCCTGCCTTAGGCTACATTAACATTGTTAACCTATTTTAAATTCCTATGGCACAGCAAGAGTCTTATATACTTACAAGATTTTTTTTTTTTTAATGCATGAGCTTTAAACTCGTTTTCTTACTTTAAATAGAAGTATATTAACTCTCCGTTTAGGCTGCAGGACCTCCTAGCTTAGTATAACAGCCCAACAAAATAAGAGTGGATACAAACTCTGTAATTTACTCACAGGCATAAATGGATATATAAATGTAAAAATGTGCACAATATTTTATGCCATGCTTGGCTTCATTGTGACCTAATGTTTATAATATGTAAATAATGACTTCCTTTTAAAGCAAAGAACTTTTAATATACAGATTCATCTGAAGTCCTTTTACTTTAATATAAACAGAAATAAAAAGAAACAAAATCTTCTGCAATAAATAAAGACTCATTGACAAAGGCAACCACTGAAGGGATTAAAAATGACAGAAGTCAACAGAAAACTTTCAATATCATACTTCTACTTTAATATGAAGATATTTTTATCAAAGGAAAAGATTCAAGAAACGCTTTGATAAAAATAATCTCACACTATCTTTGAAGCGGTTTCATTCCTTTTACTACCCACTGTGTTTCTTATCAGAAGGCCAAGGGTAAGAAGTTTCCTAGTTATGATTAGGAAAGAATCTGATAGATCAGAAGACCCAATTGAAGTTGGACATAATAAGTATTAAAGTATTACATGACATTAATCCTGCCATTCCATTACTCTCTCCATCTTTGTGCACAGACTAATTATTCTGAAGCCCGTGTTCAGGAGGAAACAGAAACATACTTACCCTGGGCTGGAGTAATCTCTTTATTGCATCAACAAGGCTGGCTCTGTACTGGTCCAGAAACAGGCTGACATTGAGAAGAAAGTAGAACCCAGATTAAACAGGGTTTTCAATTCTAATGATACTAATGGAGATAAGTACAAGGCTAATTATACATGTTTACCCAAAGCTAAAAAAGAGAAATTGTTTCATTCCATTCAAATGTCCCACTGGAAAACGACAACAAAAAAAGATACTGTCTTATCTAACTAAAGCCAAGTTGTCAACATGTAAGGAGGCCAGGGTTCACACATAAGTGGGCCTTCTGTTAATGTGAGAGGGGCAATTTCTGAAGCGCTGTTTGGAGGCATCACCTGGTGAGATGAAGCATGCCTGGCACTCTGGTCATTAGAGCCTAGACCTGAGACGCTCCTAGACCTGGACCCTCTTCCCACGGAGAATGCTTTGAAGCTGACCTCCAAAAACAAACCATGAGACCCATCACACTGAAGCCACTCAACAGCTCTCAGGTGGTAGTAGTTTTGGTGACTAAGAACAGCATTGAGGCCACACTCAACCAGTGACCTAGGAGTAAATGGCTTCAAAAACAAAGAACAGGATTATGAAAAAGAGAGGATGGTAACTTTGGAATTTCCTCCTTTTACTTCTATGCTGAAGGAGCTCTGGTAGCATAGTGGCTACGAATTGGGCTGCGAACCTTAAGGTCAGCAGTTCGAAACTACCCGTTGTTCCGTGGGAGAAAGATGAGGCTTTCTGCTCCCGTAAAGATTTACAGCCTCGGAAATAGGGTTGCTATGAGTTGGAACCGACTCCACGGCACATAACCACCACCACCACTTCTATGTTGATCCCCTACTCCCCACCTCTCATCTTCTCCCCTAATATCTGCCAGCTCACTGTGATTTTTCATTTTCCATCTCTAGTCTTTGTAGAGTTTCTGCTGTGGTCCTGTCACCATTTGACTAAGTTAGTCTTAGCCTATCTTCACCAGGCCTTATCTTGGGACAGAATTTCCTTATCTAGGGCTTGCAGGTCCAAGATCTCTGAGTTTGGGTAACCTGGTACCAGATGATAAAGAGTTAGCTGCCAAAGACATGTGAGTCTTACAGCATCTACAGAAGACTGCCAAGAGCACTCTGCCAAGTGAAAACAAAGCTGCTAGAGTCTGTCACCAATATCCATTGGTAAAGGCCACTTTTCTTCTGAATCCCATACACGATCTGATAAATAGGAAGTTTGGAGCTCAGAAATTAACAGCGGTCTTAGAATTCTGAAAAGTCCTGGAAAATCTAAGATGTCTTGTTTCCAAAGTCATAGGGCTCCAACTGTTAAAGAGAGAGAGACAAGAAGTAATGGAGAAGAGGATACCAGGCCTGTTCTTTAGAATTTACAAGATAACAGGGATATGAGCCAGACAGAGGTACATACGTATTAAACATAAATGCCAGAAACAAACACACATTCTAATAATATAACCTCCAAACCCCCTGCCCGTGAGTTGTTTCCAACTCATAATGACCCTATGAACCTATGACGCTGTGTCTTGGAGTCGATTCTGACTCATAGCGACCCTCTCATAGGGACCCTGCATAGGGTTTCTGAGACTGTAAATCTTTACGGGAGCAGAAAGCCTCATCTTTCTCCCGGGGAACAGCTGGTAGTTTCGAACTGCTGACTCTAAGGTTAGCAGCCTGATTCGTAACCACTACACTACCAGAGCAACTGACTGATAGGGCTTCCACGGCTGTAATCTTTCTCCTACCAAGTGCCTAGTGAATTCAAACTGCCAACCTTTTGGTTAGTAGATGAGTTCTTAACCAGGAGTCCTTAATAACAAAACAGTTACTATTTAATGAGCTGAGTATTAGGTGCCAAGCATCCTTCTAAAAGCTTTTCATAGATTGGCCCATTTAATCCTCATGTGATTCCCATGAGGCAGTTATTTTCACTATCCACATTTTACAGCTAAGGAGACTGAGGCACAGACAGGCTCAGTAATGAGCACAAAGTAATTAGGGGAAGGGAGCAGATGTCAGATCGAGGTAGGAGGCAGGGTTGTCAGATGAATGGAGTTAGGCAAGGAGCGTCTAGAATGCCTTCCTTGGTTCCTTCGGACCTCTTTGTTCCTGAGCTCAGTATCACACAGTAAGGCATTTGGATGTTCTCTCAGGACCTGTGCTCTCAGTTGCCCCCCCACTCAGACCTGAAACACTGAAAGCAAGGAGCAGCCTTCCTGTTTCTTTGCCTCTTCAACATTTGGAAAAAGGCTGAGAACATAATAGATGATGGTGGATTCCTAGGGAAGATGAGTCATGCCATACACGATCTATGTGTCAAGTAATGAGGGTGTCACAAAGACACGTTATAGGATAAGCACCAGACTGCTAACCACCAAGGCCAGCAGTTCAAACCTACCAGCTGCTCTGAGAGAGAAAGAGGAGGCTTTCTGCACACATAAAGATTTACAGTCTTGGAAACCTTACACAGAGTTAGGATGAGTTGGAGTCAACTTGACGGCAGCAAGATGGCCGTGAGCAAGAGGCTACAGTCTGACCCCTGTCTTATTGCTTACTACCCTCTGGACACTGAGCAAATCATATGAACATCACAACAGCAAATTTAAAAGCAAAGCGAAAACAACAACAAACGGACTTCCAAGTAATATAAATTCAAAATGACATTTTTAGAAGAAAACAAACACACCAGGGACAGCAGAAAGCAGAGCTATTTTTGAAAAGACATCTTAGTCCGAGTCCGTAGCATAATTCCAAATGAATACATATGGAAAGCAGTACGGAAGACAGTGGCAACCCACAACGTGGACTTCCCCTTTTACAGGTGGCCCACCTTAGGCCTGTACATCCGCCATCCCTAAGCAAGGCCCCTTCATCAATTTCTAACATCAAAGGTGGCTTGGTTTTGCTTCCTTGTTCCTCACATAGCATCAGTAAGTGTCACCGATGCCCGGGCCCAGAATCACCCTGGTCTGAGCTAAGGATCATTAACAGCTGTCAATAGGAGGGCTGCTGTATGGGAGTTACACTTCACATGAAAGGAGAGTGTAGTTCAGGGTTTAATAGTGATTTCTGTTACGTGATTTTGGGCAAGTCACTTCAATGTAGCCTTGGTTTCCTTGTCAATAAAGGCCTACATGTGGGGCTGCTGTGACATCTAATTAATAACATGTAGGAGCTCTGGTAGCGTAGTGGTTACGAATCGGGCTGCGAACCTTAAGGTCAGCGGTTCGAAACTACCAGCCGCTCCGCGGGAGAAAGATGAGGCTTTCTACTCCCGTAAAGATTTACACCCTCGGAAACCCTGTACAGGGTCGCTATGGGTCGGACCCGACTCGATGGCACTTAACAACAACAACAACAGTTGATAATTATTTGTGGAGCACCAACTTCAAGACAGGCATAGATTTAGACACTGTGCATAAACTATGAATGAGAGAAAGTCCCATCCTCCAAAAGCTTCAATTCTGTATTCTCTTTTTTATCACTAGTTCCTGTATAGTGTACATACAGAGATGGAGCTCTATGAATATTTACTTATTGCCCAAAGGGCAGATCAGCACAGTCCTTGAAATCGAGGTACTTAGGGGGTTAGTTTCAATGACTTGCAATGGCTTCTAGGCACTCTTGTATGGGTGTGGTTAACAATGGATCAACATTTAGGTAAGCTGGGCCAACGTGACTAAGCTCTTTCCTCATTTGAAGATGCTCTTTTAAGCAAAAAAGGAGAGGGAAAAACACTTAATGAGAGAGGTCTCCATGAAATCAGTGCTTGGTTTTCTTTGATCACCTTCATATGTTCACTGGAAGGTTCTTTTTTAAATGGAAGGATGCCTTGGGCAATGGGAAAAAGAATTACGCTCAGAGGAGCTACAAACCATGTCTATAATGGGAACCTTATCCCATTCCATCTAAGAATACCAATCCGAATTAGCTGATTGTGACCCATGGAAGAATTTTTTATCTTTCCATAAACTATACATTTAAATCTAGAATACATAATGCATCTAACTCAAATTCTGTTACTCATTAAGTCATAATAAATAGTGATTAATAATCATCAAAGACTGATGAGAAAAGAAACACCTTGTAACTTAGTCATTAGTGTTACTTACCTTATTTTTTTTAAATAAAGAAATAATAATACTTAAAATTTTACTTATTTTTAGCTTTTTATTATGAATTGGGTGACAGTTTAGTTGACACATACTGTGGTGGTCGCAATTCAATCCATGACAAGTAGTATCATGGGTCCTGGGAGGCAAGAGCATAAGATCAAACAGACAGATATTCTGGAGAAGGAATAAGCAGGTGGACCTCAAGAGAAATGAGGGTGACCCTCCATCTCCTAAACCTTTGGAGTCACAGCATGATGCAAGCGGCAGATTAGGCTTCAGAAGGACAGTATTATGACCCCTCTCCTATTGGTTACTACCCCCTGGACTCTGGGCAAATCACATGCCACATTCTGAGCCCCTGATTTCCATTCTGTTCCTCACCTTAATGCTATTATGAGATCTAAGGGTACAGTCATGCTTAACCTTATGGCTACAGACGTAGACTGTCTAAATTCAAATCCTTGTCACTTATTAGTTGTGTAACCATAGCTAAGTAAGTTATTTGATTTTCTATGCTTTTGTTTTCTGCTCCGCGAACTGTTGTTATTTAGTGCTGTTGAGTCAGTTACGATGCATAGAGACCCTGCATAGGATTTGCGGGAATGGAAAACCTCCCACCGAAATCTTTCTCCCACAAAGCAGAGGGTGGGCTCAAACCACTGACCTTGTGCTTATCCTACAGAGCCACCACACTCTCCAGCTCTGCAATAGGGTGATGATAATATTAGTACTTACTGAACAGATTTGTTGTTGTGATTTCAATGAGCTACTACATACAAAGAGAAGGCTTACTCAGAATTGTTGCTAAGTACCATTGAGTCAGTGCTGACTCATAGCAATCCTGTGTAGGGTTTTCCAGGAGCAGTGAGTGGGTTTGATCCACCAATCATGTTGTTAGTAGTCCAGTGCTTATTCTACAGAGCCATAGCAGGACT